TGACTTTGTGCTACTTTAATATTATGTTGCTATTTATTATGTTCCTAGTTTGCTCTAGTTATATGCTTGATATAGTCATAATTGATTATGAATATATGCATATGTTCGTAAAACGCTTAGCTCAATACTCGAGTGAGTTAAGTGGTCGACATTATGTAAGCATGTTGCTTAAATATTATTTACCTATGGATGCATTCTACACTCTGGGTCATGTGGTAGATCACGGATGTGACACTCCTGTTGAGTCCTTTGTAGTCCACTCCCCGTTTGTAGAGCAAGTAGAACCCGGTTGCGAAGGGAGTCAAGCTCTGTTCTTTATCTTCCTTAGTAATGTTCCTTATGCATAGATACAGAGTTAATTATACTATAGATGAGAGTGTATATACTTGGGTGTACAAAAGACTTAGTAATTAAGGAATGACTTAGGAATTTTTTTCTCTTAACTAATCTCCTGCATAGCTATACTATATTTATGAGTATCTATTTGTATCTCTGGAATACCATCATTACCTTACACTTATCATTCATTTATCATTTGACTTACCCCTGTTGTAGCATGAGAGTGATAACATCATAAGTATACGTATTTGTCAATATCACTGTGCCAACCCCATAGCTCCTCCCTGTGGATAAAATATAAATAACGATACCTGGTATACTCCCGAGTGAAATGCTATAATGGTATATTATCTGTGCGCTTGCGGATACTTAACATATATATTTACAAGTGTTCTTAATAATTACCAACAACGCATTTCTGGCATCATGCTAGGGATGACAACTTAGTAAAGAGTGATGCTAAGAAATGCCAACAACGGTGATTTTGAACACTGCGGTCGTTTATCTTCTCTCCCCATCGCCCTCCTCCTCAGGGTGACCTCGCCGATCGCCGGATTCAACTTTAAGGGGTTCGCCGGGTTCATCGCAAGGCATTGCTGAGATCTCTTCTCTCTCGTCTCGTCATGATTGCATCAACGGGCTATCGATTCGAGGTCGTATCGATTAGTTTTCTAGGTTTTCTCCCTCTCGGCTCTTTCTCTGCCTTGCGCGGCTGCCGCGTGTTCACCGGCGACCCCTGCTTCTGGACCGGTGGCCTCGTGCTTCTGACCGGTACCGCCCTCCTCTCATTGTTCCTCCTCTCTTTCCATCTTCCTCCGCCACCCTATGCGGCCACCGCGATTTTAGTTGCCCTAGCCCCGAGCCTGGCTCCTGCGCCGCGCGCTGCTGACCGCCATTGCTCTCCGTTGGCTGCTCTTCTCTTTTCTAGCTCTGTCCCCTGCCCTACGCGGCCAGCGTCGGGTTCAGCGTATCGTGCCCTGGCCCAGGCACCGGTCCTGACCCCAACCTAGCCGAACGGGATAGCGACATCGTAGCTGGAGTCGCCGCTGTAGGACTTCACCGCGCCTTACACGACCCACATATTCGCTAGTGTGGGTGGTGCCATAACTGGACCTGCAGGGCGGCGCCACGGCATAAACCTATTTTAGCCACGCATCGTGCTCACATACATTAATTCATTATTAGGTTTGGTTCATTTTTTCTGGTATTTTGCCCACTGAATCGTTAGTATTTTTGCATTTGGTGTTTTCATATTATGCGATCTAAATTATGTGGAGATTGAAACTGAAATAAGAAATGTAGAAGGGATAAATGTTTTAGTCCTTTGTTCAATATCTTTTTGCATTGCTTGAATCTGATCAGTAGGGAATAGATGAATTCATACTTTATATTAAATATGGTTCAACTGCAAGCTCTGTTCCTTCCAGATTAAGCAATTGCATACAAAATGAGAGGAAATCACTAATTATTTTTTTCACTTTCATGTGTTTCATTCATCACTAGTACAGCCATCCAGTAGAGGTGAGAGTAGAAGAATTCATTAGTACGAAGTGATTCTAATTTTTTTATGAAATACATTTGATTACAGATGGCTGATGAGGGAGATTCTTCTTATGAAGGAGAAAAGTCCAAATCAATTGATGAGTTGGGGTTGCAGTCTTCTAATAATGATGTAAGAAGTGGTGGCCTATTTCGCTAGAGTGTATTAGGATGTTCTATAAATTCTTTAAATATTGTGTTTGTTCTGTGCTAATGTTATGCCATAACTTCACAACGATAGAACTAATATTATGTCACCATGACTTGACTGAGAATGACAGTAGCATGAAATTGCAGGTTAAGCAAGCCTTCGTCTGAGTGATGCAAATATATATTTTTCAACTCTGTTTCTGTGAGTTCTTTGTTCATTCTTATTTGATATTTGGTTCTTTTTCAGATAATTTATTCATAAGCATCTCTTGTTTTTTTTCACAATTGGGATTAATTAATTTGTTGTACCTATTTTGTACATAACTTGTTGTAAGTTTTTTGTCAAACTTTTTATATCAAACTTTGTGCACATAACCTGTAGATATTAAGTTCGTGTCAAACTTGTTTATATCTAACTTTCTTCACATGTATAACTTTCTGCACATAACTTTTTATGTATAACTTCCTCCACATAAGTTTATGTCTAAATTTTGTGGACATAATTTGTACCTATTAAATTTTATGTCTAACTTTTTGCGCATAAGTTGTTTGGTTTATTATATTTTACACATAACTTGTGGTAATTAACTTGTGTGTTGCACTTGATTTATTAAATTATATGCTTAAGTTTTGTTTTGCTACTTGTATGCCTAACTTTTTGTTCTCAAATGAGTACTTAATTACCCATTATGATAGTGTTTTTCAATATGTTTTTATTAAATCTTATATGTATATTTGTCAGCTTGAACTTCAAAATGCCAAACTTGTTCCAAGTGATATTTCTTATCACTTCTCAGAGAGATACGTTGGATACAGTCTAGACAATGCTAATCTTGTAAGTTTTGTTAATTAAATTCATTCCATGCTATCTGTATGTGTGTATGGCTTTGTGATATATGTGTCCTTTTCTGTTTAAAAATGAGGAGAAATGTTATGTTTTATGAATGGATTTGTCACATTCATTTCATATTGAAATTCATAAAATCTTTTTGTTTTTTGTCTAAAGATTTTTGTTCCAGATTGCAAGAATAGATATTGGTATGTTGTTATTGTCAACATGAGGGAGCAAAGATTTGAAGTCATCTGTCCATTTAAGGACTTCAGTATTGTCAAAGAAGATGCTCTCGTAATTATGAGGAACTTTCGCAAAGTCTTCAAGTTTTCATATCCATTATCAAGAAGAGTTGATGTTTACAGGATGGGCATTACTTTTGGTAGTGTGTCCAATTCAACTGGACAGTATGCTTCTTTTGACTTATTCACAATTTTTTTGGAAAATTCTTATCATTTGTTAAACCTTTTAAACTATTAACATTTAAAAAAATATTATTTGCAGAAATGACAGTGGAGTTTTTGTTCTTAAATTACTTAAATCTTATGATGACCTGACTCACCTTTATTTCAAAGAGGTATTACTTTGTTCTTGAATTATGGCTTTGTTAAGTTCTATTTTTAAAACTGTGATCATTTGATTAGGGCATATTGCCTACTTCTTCCGATTAGTTGACAAGATGTTTTTCAAATTTTTATGTCATGCAGAAGCATGCAAAGCCTATTCGTGAGGCATTGACATACTATTTGTGCACCCATGAGGAGAATCAATTCTTGTTACCTGCAATACGTGACATAGCTGAGCGACATGTAAGATTTCATATTTGTACCTATTGTTTTGTCTTTTATGGAATCCTTATCTTTGCTCCTTAAACTTGTCAGGGTATAAAGCTTTCAAGTTATACATCAACAAGGTATAACAGATATGATTTTCAACTTAACTTATTACATTCATTGCTATGGAAATAGTTTCTTTTTATAGATTTGTTATATATAGCCCATTTGTGGTGCTATGTTAAATAACAGAGTTATTTATCTGTCTTTTTTTTATGTCTATGCTACCTAAGTTAGTTCATTAGCTTATTGTCCTGAGTTATGTATCTAACTCCTCTTTTTTATATGTATGCTAACTAACTTACTTGATTAACTTGGTGTACAAAGTTATACATCTAACTTGTGTTTTCATGTGCATGCATGTTAGCTAACTTATTTGACTAACTTGCTGTTAAGAGTAATGCATCTAACTTGTGTTTTGTATTTGTTATTTTAAATATTAAATTAAAATATTTTGCAGATCTTCCAATTAAAGAAACAGATGCTCAATGTCATAGTTATAGAGATGCTAAGATTATCATTGCAGAAGTTATGAAAGTTATTATTTATCTGGTTTTGGAAGTTTGCATCATATTATGGAGTTTACTGTGTAGTATACGTCGTAAAAGTTACTTTTATTTCGTCCCCTCCCTTTTTATAAACATTTTCCCCATGTTCCCGAATGATTAGTTTCTAAAAAGAGAAAAAGGCTCATGAAACCTAAAAGAGAATGTTATTCTCGCAAGTATTTTCAAAATATAAATTTTGCGCTAAAAGAAAAGGTAGTATTGTATTCTTTGAAGTTATGCTGTCTAATTCAGTTATCTAAGTTACGTGCGCATGGTTCCAATTAAAGCAAGTAATCTGGTTCATTCTGAATGAACGTTCGCCAAATAGTGGCATCGGTGTACACGCCCGTGATTGGGCCGAGGCCGACAGAGAAGGCGACGTAGGCCAAGGTGGACGCGATGCACAGGGTGATGGCCTAGGGGATCTTCGAGTCAGGGTGGTGGCCCATGACGGTGAGGCCCGTTTCGAGGCCGATGAGCGAGGCCATCATCCCCGCCTGCGCTGCATAGCAGCAGAGGCCGCTGGCCAACGTGGTCTAGCAGGAACGTGGCCACGAGGATGAAGAGCGTCTTGCTGGCACCCATGGCACAGGTGGTTCCCAGGAGCTGGTCGTCGCCGGTGATTACCGTGCTCTTGAACACACGCGGGCTATAAAGGACGACGCAGTTGCTGCCCGATGCTTGCTGGAAGAAGTGGATGCCGAGCACCGAGAGTAGTACGCGTCGCATGGCAGGGGTCGGGGATACGATGAGTCCCTTCTAGACACGTGTCTCCTTACTGTTTTGATCCGTCATAGGCACGGTCACCATGTCTCCGTCAAGGTCCATCAGGATGCCCGCCGCAGCCTTGATGTCAGCTAGGTGCTCCACGGCCTGCTCTGGCGTGGCAGAGGTCTTCTCCAGCACAGCCCTGGCGGCCATGAGGCGGCCGTTCTTGACGAGCCACTGAGGCGACTCGGGCATGACGAACACCATCAGTGCGAGCAGAAGCGACGACACCGCCCCGATGCCAAGCATGACATGCCAGCCGAGGTAGAGCGGGAGGCGCACGAACGCATAGTTGGAAAGGTAGCCGAGGAGGATGCATAGGTTGATGAAGAAATCTAGGAAGGATGTGAGGAGGCCGTGGGGCACCGTGGGAGAGATCTCGGCGGTGTAGACAAGCGCGATCATGATCGCATAGCCCACCCCAACGCCGGCCACGAAGCGGCCGACCATGAGCATGTCATAGCTGACCGTGAAGCCCATGAGCAGCACGCCCACGAAGAAGATGGCGGCGGCGAAGACGACAGTGAAACGGCGGTCGATCCAGTCGGACGTTCGTCCAGCCGTGAAGGCTCCTATGAGCGAGTAGAGGTTCATGATGCCCATCAGGATCTCTAGCTGCACGTCCGTGATCTTTAGGTCCTTTTTTATGCACAAGGATGCTCCGCTCATCACCCCAATGTCTGCAGAGCCAATCGTTGTCACTGACTCATAGTGTGTGTGCAAAAACTCTTGCGAAGCAAATGAATGACAAGGCCAGCATATCTAACAAGTTATGACGAATCGAGAAAAGCACTATAGGTATCGTGTTAGAAATTTAGGCATTTTCATTATCAGTTTAATCCAAAAAAATAACATCAGCAGGTTCGTGACGACATATATGTGCATGTGTATATCTCTAATGAACACTAGCATGCAGAGATGACATACAGATGAATACAGTAAAAGCACAAAGTATAGTAATCAGAGAGATTAGATTGTACCTAGCGGAGGGTCCCATGCCGAGGGCATCGGAGGTTCCATTCACACTATTCGACATAGTGCGTTGCTCGAAGTCATGGACCACAGTCGATGCAGGACGAGGTTTGCAGTGCAGTCCCACGAGCGGATCATCAGGAAGAAGACGCCTTGCTGTTTCGCAGGCAATCACCGGGAAGAAGACGAGTTCTGAGAGCGATCGCCACCAGGAAGAAGACGTACGTGGACGAGCAGTCACGGATCGCTCCCAAAAAACCTAATCACCGCACACCCCATGCAAGGTTCTCAAGCGGGCGAGGGTTCCGGAGGCACCTGCTCTCCCGCTACTCCGTGCGTGCAGAGGTACAGGACAGGGAATCCAGAGTGCTGCTGAGATGTGGTTTCTCTCGGGAGTGGTTGTGGAAGACGGTGATCTGGACTAACGGTGGACTATGGATATATGGCTGCGACGGGAAGGGAGAGAGGCAGCGGAGTATCCCAGGAGATGGAGAAGCGGAAGCAGAAAGAACGGTAACTGACGCAATCAGTTCGCCTCCACTATCAAAGGGAGTAACTCCCGTGATTATATGGATTGAGTGGCAAAAGATTGGCCACGCCCGCCCGCTCGCCGCCCACCTGCCTTGCCTCACCACACCACGCCTAAGGCCACGGCCTCGGCCCGGCCCATGCGCGCGCCCACGGCCCGGCTGCTGGTGGCGGCGGCACGCGTGCGCGTGTGGCACGCCTATGTCATTTTCTGGGCTTCTCAATTAAGATGAATAATTTCCAACCATATAAGTTGAGTCAACGTTCAGTCAAAATCCCGTATGGTATTAAACCATAAAACGCTTAATTGTTACATACAATAGAGTTTTATTTGATTTATTAAATGTTATATGGGCTAAGACCATAATATATCCAACAATCCCCACCAAATTCTAGGGTTTGTAACAAAGTAGTCTTAGAACCACATTTCTTTTATATACCAGTGTTTAGATGGAGACTGTTAAGTTGAACATCCATTTAGAGCAATAGTTTCACTCAGTCACAACTGAACAGTGGACTAGGCCTTGAATTGCTAGTTTTGTGTGAGGTGAATGTCACTAAAGTCCTTAGCTGATACTTGGCTGCAAAAGACATCCCCTCTATTTGAAGCATATAAGTCATACTCCAGTGTCTTTCATGAGTATTTCGAGATCACCTAAATCTCATAGACTGTGACCAGCAGTCTGACTCATATAGGTGTGCTCCTCAAAAGATGTTCTGTAGGACAACATCTTTGAATTAGCAAGCCACTTGGAACACATTAAGGTAAAAACCATCATGCCTTACAGATAGGAAAGATGTGCATCAGACATGAGTCTTGCTAAGGATCTTTCCTCACAATTTACTAATAGCTTGTTTCACCATTCTACTTCACGGGATCTCTGATCACATAGAATAGGTTACCACTATAGTAAATTTCAAGTGGATCTCAAACTCATCTCTCTCGATGCACTTTCTATCACATTACGTGACAGACCCTTAGTGAATTGATCTGCCAAATTGTTAAACGTGTGAACATAGTCCAACGCTATTACTCTAGAGTTTCTCAATTTTCTGATAGATTTTAGTCGTCTCTTAACATGCCTTATGGACTTCATGTTATCCTTAGAACTGTTAACCTTTGTAATCACAATCTAGTTATCGCAGTTCATAGAAATAGCCGGTATGAGTTTTTTAACAACCGGTAAATCCATAAGGAGATCACGAAGCCACTCGGCCACAGATCCAGCAGTGTCAAATGCTATGAGTTCTGCTTCCATTGTAGACTTCGTTAAGATAGTCTGCTTGTAAGACTTCCAGGAAACAATGCCACCTCCAAGCAAAAACACATATCCACTTGTGGTATAAAGCTCATCAGCATCAGAGATCCAATTAGCATCACCATAGCCTTCCAACACTTTTGGATGTCCGGTATAATGAATACCATAGCTCATGGTGCCTTTTAGATATCGCATCACTCTCTCAAGAGTACGCCAGTGATCATCTCTCGGGTTTGACACAAACCGGCTCAGTTTACACACAGCAAATGAGATGTCAGGCCTTGTTGCACTAGCAAGATACATGAGCGAACTAATGATCTAGGAGTATCTCAACTGATCCCTTGCTATTCTATGATTTTTCCTCAATAGCACACTAGGGTCATAAGGTGTAGGAGCAGGTGCACAATCACTAAACCCAAAGCGACTCAGCACCTTTTACACATAGTGGGATTGTAACAGAGTTACCCCACCATCACCTTCTCTCAGAAGCTTGATATTAAGAATAACATCAGTCTCTCCCAAATCTTTCATCTCAAAATTATTAATTAAAAATTCCTTTACCTCCTCGATCACTTTGAGGCTGGATCCAAATATTAGTGTGTCATCAACATATAAGCACAAAACGACTCCTTCACCCCACCATACCGATAGTACACACATTTGTCAGCTTCATTCGCAACAAAGCCAGCAGATGTTAAAGTTCTGTCGAACTTCTCATGCCACTGCTTAGGAGCTTGTTTTAGGCCATATAAAGACTTTAATAACGTACACACCTTGCCTTCTTGACCATTCGCTATAAACCCATCCAGTTGATCCATATATATCTCCTCCTCCAACTCTCCGTTTAGGAAAGCTATCTTAACGTCCATTTGATGAACGATGAGACCATAAGAGGCTGTCAGGGAAAGCAAAACTCGAATTGTGGTCAATCGGGCAACCGGTGAGTAAGTATCAAAGAAATCCTCACATTCCTTTTGAGTATAACCCTTGTGAAAGGTCCTAATAGCTAGAGGGGGGGTGAATAGCCTAATAAAATTTCTACAACAACACTTAACAAAATGGTTAGACTATTATGAGGTGAAGCAAGTGTTGCGCTAGCCTACTCAAAATGCAAGCCACCTACCACAATTCTAGTTTAGATAGTATCTATTCACACAATAGCTATGACACTAGCCTATGTTAGTGTGCTCTCAAAGGCTAACTAAAGAGACACACCAACCAAGCAAGCAAGCTCTCACAACTAGCTACACTAAAGAGTTTGACAACTAGTTTGCGGTAATGTAAAGAGAGTGATCAAGAAAGTTATACCGCCGTGTAGATGAAGGAACCAATCAATCACAAGAGTGAATAACAATGAAGACCAATCACCTCAGAATCAAAGGATGAACACAATGATTTTTTACCGAGGTTCACTTGCTTGCCGGCAAGTTACTCCTCGTTGTGGCGATACACTCACTTGGAGGTTCACGCGGTAATTGGCATCACACGCCAAACCCTCAATAGGGTGCCGCACAACCAACACAAGATGAGGATCATATAAGCCACGAGCAATCTACTAGAGTACCTTTTGGCTCTCCGCCGGGGAAAGGTCAAGAACCCCTCACAATCACCATGATCGGAGCTGGAGACAATCACCACCCTCCGCTCAACGATCCTCGCTGCTCCAAGCCATCTAGGTGGCGACAACCACCAAGAGTAACAAGCGAATCCCACAGCGAAACACGATCACCAAGTGCCTCTAGATGCAAACACTCAAGCAATGCACTCGGATTCTCTCCCAATCTCACAAAGATGATGAATCAATGATGGAGATGAGTGGGAGGGCTTTGGCTAAGCTCACAAGGTTGCTATGTCAATGCAAATGGCCAAGAGAGTGAGCTTGAGCCGGCCATGGGGCTTAGATAGAAGCCCCCACGAAATAGAGCCGTTGGGCTCTACACTGTACTGAACACGGGCTGACCGGACGCTCCGGTCAAATTGACCGGACGCTGGACCTCAGCGTCCAGTCGCCCGATGCATGCCACGTGTCCCCGGCTTCAAATATAGTTCATCAGATTTCAACGGTCATCTGTTGACCGGACGCGTCAGTTAGAAAGTGACCGGACGCTGGATCTCAGCGTCCGGTCGTTTCCAGTAAGGTTCCAAACACGATTTTTCCCGACCGGACGCGTCCGGTCATGCTTGACCAGACACAGCCAGCGTCCGGTCACACAGTGTCACCTCTGTACGCCCTACGTCAGCGTCCGTCAGCACTGACCGGACGCACTCCTCCAGCGTCCGATCGCTGAGTGACCCAACGTCTGGTCAAAAGACCGAAACGCACGCCCTCTGCTGCCACTGACCGGACGCGCTGGTCCAACTGAGACCAGCATCTGGTCACTTACAGTGACCTCCGTCTTTTCTATCTAGGGCGCCGGTGGCACCGTCGGACTGTTCGCACTCTACGGGCGGACACTCCACCGGTGGAGTTTCTTACCCTTGCACCCAAACTTCACCACCCTTGATCAAATGTGCCAACCACCAAGTGTATCACCTTGTGCACATGTGTTAACATTTTCACAAACATTTTCAAGGGTGTTAGCACTCCACTAGATCCTAAATCCATATGCAATGAGTTAGAGCATCTAGTGGCACTTTGATACCCGCATTCCGATACGAGTTTCACTCCTCTTAATAGTACGGCTATCAAACCTAAATGTGATCACACTCTCTAAGTGTCTTGATCACCAAACCAAAATGGCTCCTACAATTTATACCTTTGCCTTGAGCCTTTTATTTTTCTCTTTCTTCTTTCCAAGTCCGAGCACTTGATCATCACCATGGCATCACCATCATCATGTTATG